TTATCAAGATACAACTTTGTCATAGAAATGTTAATAGCACTTAATGACTTTCAAAGCCAGAATTTTAATGTAACCATGTATACAGAAGGATTTTAACTTTACATCAAAAATAATTTTAAATAAAAAATAATAACTATCAATGTCGTGTGTACAACGAATTGTATATTCAAATCGCTTTTGGCATTTACGTATTAGCCTTTAACAAAATCTAAGGATAAGTGCTTAACGTTACCACTTTCCTTATCTAAAGTAGTTACCTTTATCTCGGTATTGCCAAATTCAATGTCGAGTTTAAGCAGCCTCGACTTTCCCTTGGTTGTATCTGGACTAGGGAGAATGATTTCCGCAATCTTCTTGACATATGGTTCCCGGACGTACTTCACCGAGTCTTTTATTGTCGTGTAAAAACCAAAACAAACCGACGTCTGGTCTGGGAATAAAGGACAATATTTGAATGACCTAGTGTCACCCACCTTTATTTTTTCACCCTTGGTGGCCAGGGTTCTAAATACCATGCAATAGCATACCCCCCTTTGGGTAACCGCGTACTTCTTATTACATTTGACATTATCACATCTTTCAGAAACATCTGAACCATATGTGTATGGACAAATTCTGGTCTGAACTGCTTTTGTGTTCAAACCAAACAAAACAGCACCCTTAACAACACACAAACTTGCGTCCAGTGGTATCATTATTCGATACTTGGAACCAAATTTCTCTTCAAATCTTTTTGTCAGTAATCTGGACTCTGAGAATCCACCAACAAGATAAATAATACTAAGATTCTTAAGTTTATCATCATTTACAAGGGTTTCTACATGTTTGATAATATTTTCGACTGGGGCTAGGAATAAATTGGACATGACCTCATAACTAAGTATTAGGTAACCATTGTGTAGCTTTACATCGCATGGTTTGTATTGACCTTTAGCCCTCGCCATGAGGCTTCCGTTCATGAAAAATGCATGAGGAAGACGAATCCGAGTACTTGCTTTTGAGGATACAAATTGGGGGGATCGCTTTTTCATTTCGAAGTCTGCCATCATCTCTAACCATTCGGCTGGAGAATTCTGCTTAAAATTCGAAATAAATTTGGCCCCAAATAGAAAAATAATAAGGTTTTCAAATTCGGTTTCAACGTTTATTCCTCCCCAGGCACCACCGGTTGGTTGATACACTTCGTCCACTGCTTGATTGTTGATTGTATGAACAGTAATGTCAACTGTGCCACCTAATAAACGGAGAAATATATTCAGTAATTCAGGACAAGTATTACAAATAATGTAATGTAATTTCAAGCGACATCAATGTCACTTGTCTGGTGTAGATATTAGAATGAATGAGCTCACATTTTTTGTCGAAAAACCTTTTCGCATGAGTATTGTATAACCTTATATTTTCTCTGTTTGTACTAGTCGGTTGAATTTTGTTCAACAATGCACCATTTTATACACGCTCAGACCAATGCAAGACGCAGTATTTTCGCTCACATCTTTCAAATCGCCTAACGTCATACCTTGGTTGCATCCAGTATTGTGGTCCTTGTATAACGCTCTTCAATGATTTGACAATGTTTTGTATTGTATTCTTTGTGCACATTGTTGGTATTGCATGCTTTTATTTTGCGATGTCGCTTAATGATGTATTTTCGAATTCTCACGAAATATAGCTTTATATATCACTAACTTTTATTGGAAATGTTGAGAGTTGGGTGTCACGGACTCATCTACCAACCAAAACATAGTCTCACTTGACGACAAGAGAATACATCTTATCATAATATTGTATTTTGTAACTGTCAGACTGTCTCCGCAATAAAACGAGACACTCGTCAAAATTATTTTCTTCTATTCTTTCCCATTAAAATATGTTTGATGATTGCCGATGGATTTGCCTTAAAATTGTGCAAACGGTCACCAAAGTGTTGCTATAAATGTAATAATTTGGATAAATTATTATTTAAACTGATAGTAAGATTTTCGTTTCAAAAAACGTTTTTCTGTATAATACATATATATGGAATCCGCTAAACTAGCTTAAAGTTTGCACACGCAATTAATTGCGATTGTGGTGTTATGTTGAACTAAGACCTGTGAGTTGACTAGATTAAAATTCGTAATCTACGATATCATATGCATATTTCTCAAAATATTTAGTATTTACGGAATTAAGAATAAAATAACAAGTGCTACTTTGGGTGGTAGGATAGATTGACAAATGACCTTCTGAATCGATACTTACCCCCATTATCAATAATCATGTAGGTAGGCCCGTTGCACGCAATAACTTCAGGAGGCGTTCCATTTAATGTTTCATCCACAAACTCTGATAGATCCCTTTGGCGACAATCAAGCGAAGCAGCTTCTGGTTCCAGTGCTAGAATCAGCTGTGTGGGGTCATCAGATCGGATTATTTTTGCCTGTTAGTAAATACATTGTAAAATTACTCCAAGTAAAACCGGTAGTATCTGAACAAATTGTTGAGAATCTTAGTTGAGTTGAATAGATTTTATTCTCGTGTAAATATCAGTTTATTGTACATCATATCTCAGTGAATAATACCGCTTAAATTCAATATGAAGAGATGATTGAATTACTTAGTTAGGAATACTTATCAGTTCATCTTTCGTCGTATTTTGTCTTTATTTGTTCAGTGTATGATATCAAGCACGACATCAAAACCATGGTTACGACTACATCAAAATGATCTCGTATGAATCAGATGCATACTATACCAGGAACCACACAGTTGTCATTTTAGTTCTTGTTGTAGTAATAATTACAATAACACAGGTGGTCATCGCGCCGCATATGTGCGACATTTGTGTTGATGAACATTGATTTTCCCACAATTCACTGGGCTTTTCTGATGAAATCGCGAGTACGAGTTTTGACCTGGGCACACTAATCACTGCCTCGAATCATTCGATACCTTTCTAGTCATCTAACAAATTACCTCGTCAAAACTTTGTAACCTCTCAGTTTGTAACGGCTGGTCTGCGCGACAAAATCGCCATCTTTGTTTATAAGAGACCCATATCCCGTGTATTCGTGGCGCGATGACCACACCCCTTTAATTATTAGGGTTGGTGTCCTACCTGAATACATGCCTCCCTCATAAACTGTTTAGATACTTGTTTCCATATTGCTGGCACAGTTAACACCCATTGGATGTCACTATTGTAAAATGTGTAACCTGATGTTGTGGAAATTACTTTCAGAGCCTCTTTTGCGAGATACGTTATCGATTCAGAGAAGATTTTCAGAGCATTGACTTTCTTACCATTACTAGCAACAAGTTCAGTGGTGGTGTCAACCGCCTATAATCAAAAGTAATTACAATGGTAAATATTTGTCAGTAATCTTAGCATGTAAAAGAAAAATGCTTGCATCTTGTAAGTTAAAATAGAATAAGTAAATACATATTAAATACATTATGCAGTATATTGTTTAAAATGGCGATAATGTAAATTACTTGACAGTTATCTCAAACGATTTACAAAGAAACATTACGAAACTAGCATGGAAATGTATATCCGAAAGATATACAAAAAAGAATGTATCAGCAATGACGCAATCAAGGTTATTGACGCCACATTCGAACACTGTTCATCATCAGCAGTTTGCCATCTATACCGACATGACGTGCCACCACAAACATCGATATAATATTTTTTTAAAACATCTTTAATAAATTATATAACTTGGTAAAATGAAATTTACATTTTATGAACAAAATAAGTATAACAATTTGTATTTGTATCTCAACTTACCCATACAATCACATAGAAATCTATGTGTGTGTTTTTTTTTCTTGAAGACCGACATCCCTAGCAGTCAACGAGCTGATTCAACTTGATATGTGTGATGATAATCGATATTGTGCCCACTTTTCAGACATGCATATATTCCTTTATTTTATCTTACCTCCCTTTGGTGAAGTTCCATTTTGAATCTCTCAAAATAATAATACTCGTCTTCCATGTTCTCGCCATCATTCAAGGAAATATACTTTTCTTGGGCGTCATATCCAAAGGAGTCAAATGATTCATCCGGATTTAAAAGAATACACGTAGGTGTTTGTGATGTGCTTACACCTCTACTATGTCCCCATTGTTTACCTATGTGTATTCCAGGAATTCCACTCGTATAGCTATTCAGATTATATGAAAACGCAAATCCACTGAAAGTGGTACCGAAATCGATCGCCACTACTGCCAGGTATTTGTCTGAGAGAGGCATGACTCGACCACGCTATGATATCCACCTGTGGGTATATAAATAATAATAAATGCAACCGTGTGCACATATGCATCGAGTACGGGTAGGTGTTTACAACACGTTATAGAACTTTGATAAAAGGTTACGTCGGAATATTGTTCATAATATGTGTATTATTATCACATGACAACGGTAATATCATTTACAGTTTATTTGTTGTATATATATTGATAAAAGAATAATAATTATTGCGACCACTAAAACTGAAAACCATCAAAACTTTATATTCTCGGCTCCTTAGCAAAATTAGCATATGATTTCTAAGTGCAGTTTTGAAGAAAAAAAACATGCAATATATCCAGCTCATGTATGTTGAACGGAGTTTGTTATGTGATAAAAAGGTTCGCACTGCTTACCCAAAACACTCATTCAAAAAACCTTCGAAATATCATGATTTATCAATATAATGAATAAATAAATAATTCAACTCAATATTCTACAATCGTATGACGTCGTATGATACAGCTGATATGCGGGAGTCACGTGCACTCGTCCGCGATGACGTCAACTCGTTCGGAATAACGGGGTATTATAATAATAATTCCTAAATCTATTTGTTATGCGCGACGTCGTGCGACATATTACCTCATCGTCTTCGCACAATTGAAAATATGCAAATAAGGAAAATACATAACATTTTGTCTTGTTTACACACTTTGAAACAAGCCATCTTTAACAGTAAATATATGCATAATGGAAATATCAACGCATCGATGCCCAGGTGATATCATGAAAACGGAACTGAAATAGCAACTTAGCTTGAATACTACTGTGAACAAGTGTACACATATTAACATATTCCCGGCTATAACATAAGCTGTATTTTGGGTCAGTCCTACGTGGCGTAACGGGGGCACTACTTCTTTCAGTGGCGGTGCATTTGCTGGGTTGTGAGTATGAATCTCGTGCTTCATGAGAATAGTCACTTTTTAGATGTGCACAAATAATAGTCACAAAACGAAAAACAATTGGAAGATGTGGTTCATAACTATCTATCATATCGATTAGATTTTATAATGATGTATAAGATATTGGTGTTATGTTTTATTATGTCACAAACAACCTACCTAGGGAAATGAGAACCGTCTATGTGACTTCGACGCCACAAAGAAATCATTGCATAAATATACTAAAACCCGACATTGGAATCAGACAAGCAAGTATGTTCAATATCATCTTTGTTCATCAAATACTCACCAAGGGAAGGATTGGGACTGAAAGGGTCGAATTCAAGCCTATTCCATCATATTTTCTCACACGATCACGCCAGGTAACAGCGACCAGTCGCCATCTTACTTACACTGCGTTCAGTTGGGTCACGTGTCATCGATGATGTCATTTTTTGTTATTACGTCATGTGGTTTGCGTGATTGTGTCTCCACTTAAAAGGTTGACGAACTTTTGATTGATTGACGTTCTATGTGAGGAAGAGAGTTATTGACACATCATGTGCGTGTTACCTAGTTACCACGTGGTAAGTAGTTCTATGATAATTCATCAGCCCTGAAGTGAATAATAAAGCAGAAAAATATCTGTTTCTTTACTGGAGCTATAGTGGTGTCGGAGAATACTGTCAAGTTGGTCAAATAAAATCAAAATGACGTCCGGTATCCAGAATTGTGTTGACCCTTCATAGAATTGCTCTCTGCCTAACCTAATTGTTCCATGATATAAGTTCAATTTGTTAACAGCTCAGAACTAATATAATAATTAATGTTGATAATGTTTTTGATATTGACAGGTAAGATGATGCGAGAAAGTAGTAACTGCAATAAAATAAGTCCTACATGTTTAAAATGTGATATTCAGCTCAAGTTCATACATGATTTATTTTATTTAATCGAAATGTTCATCGACGCTAGGCAATTTAGAAAATTTCTATTATTATTATTAACTTCATTTCAGGACAAGCCCATATAAATAACAAACAAACTTACAGTTACCTAAGCACATACAACCACATACTCCACATAGATGATTCAAAATAAACATCACTTTCTAACAAATTCTTTTGCACAGAATTAGTACCTTGCACAATTCATTGCGAAAAACTCGTCTTGCGTAACTTAACATGGAAGTCATCGACATACAATGTTGCAGAATATTGACTACAACTAGTGTTAACATTGTGGTATACGTTACATAACATTGTAAATGCAATATTATATGCTACTTGAATCCAATTAAAATTAACAGGTATAAAGTTCACTCTCTCCATATAAATCCATGGATGTATCGTAGGGTCATTTCATAGCGCTACTGTAACTAGTAAAACTATTGTAGCACTTCGATGGTCACTGAGTAACAGTGTGTGTGTTCTGCTATGATGGTGCACTGTCATATACTCTGGGTTGTGCATTTTCAGACAATGGACATGAACCATATTGCCTGGGTCAGACTCATGTTGACTGAATCGACTCGGAGTTGGCTCAGTGTTTAGTTTTATCCCCCATGTAGTAAATTTCGGTAAATGAATCGCACGCTGATTGGTTCCCGTGTTGAATTACACACGTTATACTAATGCATTCCAATTTCCAAACAAATTCAAAATAATTGCCATAGTTGAGAGATACACGTCGGAAATGAAGCAGTGTGCAACATTTTGAAGCCATACATTTCGCAATTTTCGGTCGGTTTCGGAATCGTTGTAAAATAAACCTTCAAAAATAAACTATTGATTGATGCATTAATGAATTACAGAGGAACAATTAGAGTGATGGAATTGTGTCAGGTGTCATGAACACTAGCGTTGTGTTTGGGGGTTCAGGGAACTTCGTCTCGCTTGACTGACGTCACTTACATGTAGAAGTACCAGACTCGATCCAAATGAGTACTACACATAACTTCATTACAGATAGTCAAGCTTTATTCTCCCAATCAATCAGTCGAGGTAACCCCTCACTGCACTGTTCTCTCGTTCCTTCTCCTTCTTACAAAAATTACAAACTCTATATTAAAAGTAAAATCTCTAAGGCGTGGCAG